TAATGAATATGCCATCAGTGCCTTTAAACAAGCAATTAGTTAGGAAAAATAAATAGCACAAGTCCAAGCACAGATCCATGAGGTACTCCAATGGAGACCTCCTGCCAGATTGACACTGAACCATTAACAACTACTCTTTGAGTCAAGTCTTTAGAAGCCTGGAAATTAGATCCGAATCCATATGATATATTGTAATCTATTCTGCATTTCTCCATCTAATTATGCTTAATTTTTACTGCTAACCTTGCCTTTTTAATTTCAGCTGAAACATAATAAATTCTGCTCCAAGCCCTTATTTTAACTCTGTTTGTCTCTCTGTTTCAAGTGTGTTTCTCCCAAACAACATATTGTTGGATTCTGGTTTCTAATCCATTCTGCTATCCACTTCTTATGGGTGAGATCATCCCATTACATTCACCATTATTATTGCTAAATGTGTATTTCCCTCCATCTTATTTTCTTCTGTTTATTCTTCTCTCTCTCTCTCTCTCTCTCTCTCTCTCTTTGTTTTTCTTTTTTCCTTTTGGTGAGGCAATCAAGATTAAATGACTTGCCCAGGGTCACACAGCTAGTAAGTGTCAAGTGTCTGAGGCTGTATTTGAACTCAGGTTCTCCTAACTCCAAGGCCAGAGCCCTATCCACTGAGCCCCTTAGCTGATTCTTCTATTTCTCTTTTTATCCTGTCCATCCTGGAAAGTTTGTTTTGCTTCTGACCACTGACTCCCTTAATCTGCCCTCCTTTTTATCATCCCTTCTCCTCTTCTCTTATCCCCTTCCTCTTCTTTTTCCATGTGGGATAAGATACATTCTATACCCAACTAAATGTGTCTGTTATACACACAGACATACATATATTCTTTCCTCTTTGAACCAATTCCGATGAGAATGAGATCTAAGTGTTGCCTGCCACACGCCCCCCAATTTCCCCTTCATGATAAAATCTCTTTCTTGCACACCTCTTTTATGTGGGAAAAATTTCCCTTCTACTTCTCTGCTCCTTCTTCTCCGAGTGTGCATCCTTCTTTCTCAGCTGTTCATTTTTTTTTGAGATCATCCCAACATAATTGCCCCACACCTAGGCCCTCTGTCTATGTAGACTCTTTCTAACTGTTCTAACAGTAATAAAATTCTTAGGGAATTACATGCATAATCTTCCCATTTAGGGACATAAACAATTAAACTTTATTAAGTACCTTATGATTTCTCTTTCATGTTTTTCGTTTTATGCTTCTCTTGGGTCCTGTGTTTGAATGTCAGATTTTCTATTCAGCTTTGTTTTTTTCATCAGGAATGCTTAAATTTCCTCTATTTCATTAAATATCCATTGTCCTCCTGAAGGAATGTACCCAGTTTTGCTGGATAGATTATACTTGGTTGTAATCCCTTTGCCTTCTGGAATGTCATGTTCTAAGCCCTTCACTTCTTTGACGTAGTTGTCAAATCTTATGTAATCTTTACTGTGATGCCATAATATTTGAATTATTTCTTTCTGGCTGCTTATAATATTTTCTCCTTGACCTTGGAGCTCTGGAATTTGGCTATAATGTTCCTAGGAGTTTTCATTTTAGAATCTCTTTTAGGAGGTGCTTGGTAGATTCTTTCAGTTTCTATTTTACCCTCTGAATCTAAGCTATTAGGGCAGTTTTCCTTGATATTTTCTTGAAATATGATGTATAGGTTTTTTTTTATCATAACTTTCAGGTAGTCTAATATTTTTAAAATTATCTCTCCTCAATTTGTTTTCTGGACAGTTTTTTTTTCCTGATGATATATTTCACATTTTCCTCCCATTCTTTGGCTTTGTTTTATTGTTTCTTGATGTCTCATGGAGTCATTAGCTTCCAGTTTCCCAATTCTGATTTTTAAGGAATTATTTTCTTCAGTGAGCTTTTGTACCTTTTTCCATTTGGTCAATTCTGTTTTTTTAAGATGTTCTTTTCTTTAGTGAATTTTTGTACCTCCTTTTCCATTTGACTTATTCTCTTTTTAAAGAAGTTATTTACTTCAGTGAATTTTTGCGCCTCTTTTACCATTCGGCAAATTCCATTTTTAAGGTGTTATTTTCTTCAGTATTTTTGTGCCTGTTTTTCCAAGCTATTCATTCTCTTTTTATAATTTTCTTGGTCACTCTCATTTCTTTTCCTACTTTTTACTCTACGTCTTATCTCTATCTTTAACTTTTCCACAAATTCTTGTTGTATTATGTCCAATTAGCATTTTGCTTTGAAGCACTGCTTCTACTTTTTATGTTGTCTTCTTCTTCTGAAGAAGAATGTTTTGGATTTTCCTGCCAATATGACAGCTTGTAATTGTCAAGTTATTTTGTTGTTGTTGTTGCTGTTTGCTCGTATTTCCAGTCTATTTCTTGACTTTGAACTGAATATTAAAGTTTGACTTTGCTCACCTTGGGGTGAGGAGGTACTGTCCCAAGTTTCAGGCTTTTTCATGCTTCTGTTTTAAAAGCTAATTCTGGGGGTCTGCAAGTCTTTGGTGCTTCCAAGGTGGTATGATATGGGGAAAGGGGTCTTCACTGCTCTCTCAGTCTGTGCTGTGGTCTTTGTCTAGGAAGGGCCCCTGTTCTCCTGCAGCTGCAGGTGCTAGTGCTACTCTCTGTCTTGAAAGTGCTCTGGGCCCTACTTAACCAAAATCTGAAAAGGGAGGGAGGGGACTACATATAACCCTCTATTTATCTAATTAGAGAAATTTTGTATCAGCTTTTCTTCATTAAAAAACACCCTACCCTCTCCCACCTGTAAGCCTCCCTTTCTTTTTCTTTTTTGTTTTGTTTTGTTTTGGTTTGGTTTGAATTTGTGGAGGAGAATTGTATGTCATAGAAATGATTAAGTTTAGCTCTCTTTCAGTACCCAGGAAGGAGACCAAAATGACAACAGTTTATCTTGCCTTTCTGTCTAGGTGGCAGCAGTAACAGTGGGACTGAGGAGGGATAATGTTGTTACATGTAGCCAGTAAAATGTGGAAGAGTAAATTTAGCTGCTTAAGATGTTTAGGTCCTGGCTTTCTAGCAAATAGTATAGTACATGATCCATAGTAAGTACTTAATAAATGCTTACTGATCATTGGTTAAGTGCTTGAATTTTTTTTTTATTTTATTCACTGCTATACTGATTAAAATCAAGGTGCAACTACTTGTATTTTTTTTTTTCAACAAGTAATGCCCTGTTCTACTACAATGACAGTAGCAAATCAGATTCTTCCTATTTATCAGACTTGGCTATATTTGGTTTAATGAAGTAAGACTAAACCAGAGATCAAAATGTTTGACCTTCTAATAAATCACTAGATTTTTAACCTAGCAGTAAATCTAGTTACAGTATAATCTAAAAAAATCATTAATGCTATATTTTCCATCCTTAATTAATAGAATTCTTCATTTTAGCCTTTCTTTGTGGGAAAAAACCACTTTGAATATTTACATATAATTTTCTATCCACTAATAACAATCTCATGAACTTCCTTAATGTGGAATTAATTCTTGAAAGTTTTTCTTAAAATTTAGAATCAAATAATCAATGTTGCAATAGTAGCAAACATATTGAATATGTTCTGTATTAGATTAGTGCATACTACGCTAGATTTTTATAGACTTGAAATTTTATTCTAAATTTTTTTCTTTCCTGGAAGCGACAGCTGAAGATTATTTCCCGAAATATAATTGCTTGATTATGTAATATCATTAAAAACTCATATTTTATTTGGGAAAAGTGTTGATTTCTTTTTTGGTTCAGTAATGTTAAGTGAACTCATTATTCATTGTTAAATTTTCCAGCTGATTATGCTGCATGTTAAAACTAAATATAATCAAAACAGATGTTATCACTTCTCTAGTTTTTTCTAAATCTCAGTGTACTTTACAGGCTAATCCTACTGAAGCTTCTGAGATAAACACTTGACATTTTAAACCAAATTGGATTAAACACTAAAGATGGATTGCAAGACTTCCATCAGTTTCTAAGGTTCTTCTAGGACCATATGGATATAAGTGCACATTTTTTTGAAAAATTGGTCTTTACACTTACAGTGACACATCTAATAACAAACTATGTCAAGAGAAGTTGTTGACTCCACTTTATGCAAGTGGTTAAAAATATTTCTTGGGTATTATGTTGACATGTTGGTATGTATATCTATCAATCAATCTATAAGAATTTATTAAGTGTGCCACACTGTCTTGGGGATGCAAACACAAACATGAAGTAACATATATACACATATATATGCATATACACAAATATATATGTGTATATTTATATATGCATATATATTATAATTACAAGGTAACTTTAGAGGTGAAGGCTGTAGCAGCAGGGAGGACCATAAAAGGCCTCCTGCAGAAGGTGGTTCTTGAGCTGTCTGCCCCCCCCCCCTTTTTTTCCTTTTTAGGCAATTGGGATTAAGTTATTTGCCCAGGGTCACACAGCTAGTAGGTATCAAATGTTTGATCTGAGGCCAAATTTGAAATGAGGTCCTCCTGACTTCAAGGCTGGTGCTTTACCCACTTTGTCACCTAGCTGCCCCCTTGAGCTGAGTCTTGATGGAAAACAAGGATTCCAGGAGGTGGAGTGAAGAGGGAAGAGTATGTCAGGCTTAGGGGGCAGAGAATGCAAAGTATCCATGTGTGAGGAGCAAGAAGTAAGCTAATATGACTAGACCATGGAATATATTGAAGGAATTCTTGTGTAAAATGACTGGAAAGGTAGGTAGGGACCAGGTTGTGAAGGGTTTTCAATGTCAAACAAAGGAGATTATATTTCATCCTAGAGAGAGAGTCATTGGAGTTTTTTGAGGTGTAGGGAGAAGGGAGGTGACATTATCAGATTTTTATTTTATAAAATTTACTTTGGTGTTTGTGTGAAAGACGGATTGGAGTGGGGAAAGCCTTAAGGAAAGAAGACCAATAAACTATTAGCTTCATTTCTCAGGGAAAGACATTTGTGTTAGTTTCTTATTATTTCTACTGACATAACATTTTTGCCTTTTAGGAATACAAGACTGCTTGCAGTTGATTGCTGATGGTACAAGTCCCACAATACAAAGAGGTAACACAATGAATCACAACCCCCCCCCATTTAAACAATAGATTAAATGATGATAGATACATGTATCTAATGCTATCATTCCGAATTACAAGTAAAACAGCATATCTGCCTCAAAATTAATATGCCTAATACCTTTTCTTCATGATGGACCTTAAAATTCCTGCTATAGTAGACTCCATCCCCCAATTCTTTTCTTCCTGGGGCTAAACATATCCAATTTCTTCATTCAATCTTAATATGAAATAATTTAAAAGTTTTTCATGACCCTGTGAGTTCTTCTCTAGACATTTTCCAGCTTATTGGTGTTCTTCCTAAAATGTGTTACCCAGAGCTGAACCTAATACTTCAGTATGACTCCAAAGCATAGTAGAACAATTCTACCCTGGTCAGTCTGATTCAATTAATGTAGCCCAGTATTGTTTTGGCTTTTTTTTTTTATCTCCAATATCACACTAGGAAGTCTAAATAAAAAGACTATGATTGGTGTCCTATAGAATTTCTAATTTCTTATAATACATGTAAAATGTGATTTAAATATTCTCTTCAAGGTCATCATGAGAAATGTACTGAATGAACCTTAGAACAGTGCAAAAATGGGATGGTATTATAACTATATCTAAAAAGCCATAGTTAGGCCTTTTGGGAAGCAGGACAAACTCAGGGAGCATAGATAATAAATAATTTTTCCTTCCTGTTGAAGGAATCTCATTAGTCTTCTGGCCTATTATTTATGTAATAGATAGTATTCCTAATTAGGGGTTACTATCCAGAGATAGGAGGATATTTAAAGGGACCTAATATAACTATTCTCTCATTTTAGAGAAGTTCAGAAAAAAGTGGCTTGTTGGGTTTATGCAACTATGAAGTAGTAGAACTAGCACTTAAATCTGTTTGTTGATTTTAAGTCCAGGTTTCTTTGATCTATTAGAAAGAATGTTCATTAGGCCTGGGGCTTTTTCTTCCCTACTTGTAAATATCAAAATGGATCTGTGATGTCACATATATGGTCATTCCCTCAGTGATACAATAACATGATGGAAAGGATATTCAGTAATAATACAATGTTGGTTCAGTTGGATATAGATCCCTTCATCTCTGTACATAGATGTTCTCAAAAAGCATCAAGAAGTCTCCGAGCTCTGTGAAGAATGTGAGCTCCTTGAGAGCAGGGATGTTTTTTTTTTTCCTTTCTTTTTACCTCCAGAACTTAGCACAATGCTAACATAGTAGGTACTTAATAAATGCTTGTTGACTTGATGGGACTTTTAAAAAACCATCTAAAAAAACCATCCACTACTCATTTACTGGGCTTTTTATTCCTCTTACTGACTAGGGATCTCCATCAGTAGCTCGAACCTTAGTCCCCTGGGCCAAGGAGATATCTCAAGGATAGTTTCATTGCTTTTTTTTAAGGGGAAAACTAGACTTACCTAGGTAGCAAGGGCTTTCTTTTCTTTTTTTAAATAGTATTTTATTTTTCCAATCACATGTAAAGACAATTTTTAACATTCATTGTTTTAAAATTTCTAATTCCATATTATCTCCCCCTCTTTACTATCTCCTCCCTAAGATGGTTAGCAATTTAATATTTTATATATGTGCAATCATGTAAACCATATTTCCTTATTAGTCATATTGTGAAAGAAGAAACAGGCCAAAAGAAAAAAAAACATGAGAATAACAAAGAAAATGAAAATACTATGCTTTAATCTATATTCAGACTCTATTATTTCTTGCTCTGGATGTGGACTCATGAGTCCTTTGGAATTTTTTGGATCATCATATTGAGGAGAAGAGTTAAGTTGTTCATAGTTGATCATCGCACAATGTGTAGCAGGGACTTTCTACTCTTTTTCTTTTTTAAAGGAAATTACACTATATAATTTTTTTAACATTTAAAAAATATTTGAGTTCCAAATTCTCTCGCTCCAGCCCCTTCTCATCCACTGAGAATGCAAGCAATATGATGCTCATTATAATGTGAAATCATGAAAACATATTTCTATATTAGCCATGTTGTAAAAAACAAGAAAAATAAAGAAAGTAAGAAAATTATGCTTCAATTTGGACTCAGAGTTCATCAATTCTTTCTCTGGAGCTGGTTAACAATTTTTATCATAAGTCTTTCCTAATTGTCTTGAATCTTTGAGAATAACTAAGTGATTCACAATTGATCATCGTACAATATTGCTTTTACTGTGTACGATGATCTCCTGATTCTGTTCACTTCACTTTTCATCAGTTCAAATAGGTCTTTCTAGGTTTTTCTGAAACCATCCCCCTTATCATTTCTTATATCACAATAGTGTTCCATCATAACTTGTTCAGCCATTCCCCAATTGATGAGCATCCTCTCAATTTCTAATTATTTGTCACCACAAAAAAAGCTGCTATAAATATCTTTGTACATATAGATCCTTTTCCCTTTTCTTTAATCTCTATGAGATGCAGACCTGGTATTGTTGTATCACAGGGTATGCAAAGTTTTATAGCCCTTTGGGTATAGTTCCAAATTATACTCCAGAATGGTTGGACGAGTTCACAACTCCACCAACACTTTATTAGTGTACCTATTTTCCCACATTCCCTTCAGTATTTGACGTTTTTGGTAGGTATGAGGTGGTACCTCAGAGGTGTTTTAATTTGCATTTTTCTAATCAATAGTGATTTAGAGCATTTTTTCACATGACTATTGAAAGATAGCTTTGATTTCTTCTGAAAACTACCTGTTCATATCCCTTGACCATTTATCAACTGGAGAATGACTCTTATTTTTATAAATTTTGTGCAATTCCCTACATATTAGAAAGAAGATGACTTTATTTGAGAAACTTGCTGTAAAATTTTTAAAAAATATTACTTCATTACCTATGGTGCCATTTATCAAAATGTAGTTTCCCTGTTTATGTCTTTTAATTAGGCCTACTTTTGCTTTTACTTTGTCTGAAATTATAATTTATATTCCTGCTGTTTTTACTTCAGCTGAACCATAATAGATTCTACTCCAGCTTATTATTTTAACTCTGTCTGTCTCTTTCTGTTTAAAGTGTACCTCTTGTAAACAATATATTGTTGGATTCTGGTTTCTAATCCATTCTGCTATCTGCTTCTGTTTTATGGGTGAGTTCATCCCATTCATATTCACAGTTATGATTACTAACTATGTATTTTTCTCCATCCTATTTTCTTCTTTTTATCCTTCTATCTGTTTTTACCCTGTCCTTCCTCAATTTGCTTCTGACTACTGCCTCCCTTATTCTGCCCTCCCTTTTGTCACCCCCCACATACCCTTCATCTTATTCTATTCCCCTCCTCCTTCTCATTGGGTAAGATAGAGTTCTATACCCAACTAACAGTGTGTGTGTGTGTGTGTGTGTGTGTGTGTGTGCATGTGCATGCATGTGTGCGTATACATATATGTGTGTGTATACATGTGTGTGTCTTCCCTTTTTGGACCAGTTACAATGAGAATGAGGTTCAAGTGTTGCCTGCCACCCTCATTTCCTCTCCACTATAAAAAGCTCTTTCTTATGCAACTTTTTAAATTAATTAATTAATTTTTTGTTTTCAGCATTCACTTCCATAAGCTTTTGAGTTTTAAATTTTCTCCCCTACCTTCCTGCCTCCCTCCCAAGACAGCATGCAATTTGATATATGCTCTCCATATACATTCCTATTAAACATATTTTCACATTAGTCATGGTGTAAAGAAGAATTAGAACCAATAGGAGGGGAAAAAAAGGGTAAATAGTGTGCTTTGATCTGCATTGACTCCATAGTTCTTTCTCTGGATGTGGGTAGCATTTTCCGTCATGAGACTTTTGGAGATGTCTTAGATCCTTGCATTGCTGAGAAGGGATAAGTCTATCAAAGTTAGTCATCGTACAATGTGGCTGTTACTGTGTACAATGTTCTCCTGGTTCTGCTCATTTCACTCAGCATCAGTCCAAACAAGTCTTTCCAGGTTTTTCTGAAGTCTTCTTGCTCATCATTTCTTACAGTACAATAATAATTCATTACATTCATATATCACAATTTGTTCAGCCATTCCCCAATTGATGGGTATCCCTTCAATTTCCAATTCTTTGCCACCACAGAAAGAACTGCTATAAATATTTTTGTACATGTGAGTCCTTTTCCTATTTTTATGATATCTTTGGGATACAGCCCTAAAAATGGTATTGCTGGGTCAAAAGGCATGCACATTTTTATAGCCCTTTGAGTATAGTTCCAAATTGTTCTCCAAAATGGTTGGATCAGTTCACAACTCCACCAACAATGCATTAGTGTTCCAATTTTCCCACTTCTTTTCCAACATTTATCATTTTCCTGTTTTGTGGTATTAGCCAATTAGATAGGTGTGATGTGGTACCTCAGAGTTATTTTGATTTGCATTTCTCTAATCAATAGTGATTTAGAGCATTTTTTCATATGACTATAGAGAGCTTTAATTTCTTCATCTGAAAACTGCCTGTTCATATCCTTTGACCATTTATCAATTGGGGAATGACTTGTATTCTTATAAATTTGACTCAGTTTTCTACCTGTGTGAGAATTTAAGCCTTTATCAGAAACATTGGCTATAAAAATTATTTCCTAGTTTTCTGCTTCCCTCCTAATCCTGGATGTATTGACTTTATTTGTGCAAAACCTTTTCAATTTAATGTAATCAAAATGATCTATTTTTCATTTCATAATGTTCTCTATCTCTTGTTTGGTCATAAATTCTTCTGTTCTCCATAAATCTGGCAGATAAACTATCCCTTGCTTTCCCAGTTTGCTTGTAGTACCTAAATAGTGTACCCATTTTGACTTTATTTTGGTATATGGTGTAAGATTTTGATCCATGCCTAGTTTCTGCCATACTTTTTTCTAGTTTCCCCAGCAGGTTTTGTCAAATGATGAGTTCTTATCCCAGAAGGTGGGGTCTTTGGGTTTCTCAAGGAGTAGATTACTATAGTCATTGACTACTGTGTCTTATGTACCTAACCTATTCCACT